TAGCCGAAATAGACTAAGTGGGCCGGGTCACCCTAATTTGGAGTAGCCGTGTCACGTGGCTTAGCCGGATAACAATAGCTAAACGCGGATTTCACTTAACGTGATTTACGTACCAGATTTTAATAATTTATAGCGCGAGTTTCACCCAGTCCTATGATAAATATATAAGTTGAGAAATTTTTTACTTTTTAAGTACTTATATTAAAAATAATTGCGTAATGCATCGAAAAGAAAATTTGTAAATTGATTTTTTGTAATAGTCAAGTATATTAATGGTATTGTGTTAAATCAATGCTACCAAAAGTTGCAATATTGTAATTCAATAGCTTTGCACTCAGAGTTAAGTAATTACAAAAATAAATAATATATCAAATTATTATCAGTAATTTAGATGTTAACATTTATTTGTTTTAAGCACTTTTAATATTTTTATAAACTTTATCTAAATGTTGCACTTCAACCACATAATCTCTTAAAAATAATTCTAATTCATCAATTTTTTTCTCCAACTGTTCAACTCGATTTTTATCATCAATATTATTAGGTGGGTCTGAAAGTTGTACCAAAGGAAATGTGGATAAAAATTTAGTAAATTTCTTTTGAGTTTTCTCATAAAAATAACCGTGTCTTTGAATTAATCCAAAAGGCTGGATTGCGTCATCACCTATTTTTTAAAAAGGTAAAGATAATATTTAAAGCTGTTATTATATTTAAACCAAATTATGTCGAAACTGACTTTTAATATTATAAATATCTATGAAAATCTTATCTATTGAACAAAAGTCAAGTATAGGTTCTATTTTTTATCAATGAAACTTCTAATTTTTGTCTAATATTTATATAATAAATGCATTCGATTAATAGTAAAAACGTACCAAAAAGTAATTTGTAAGCAACAACAGCAAGTGACCATGCACCGCCAAGTAAGCCAAGAGAATTCAAAACCTAGATGAAATTGTGGATTAATTATATGCATATAAATTAAAAATTTATAAATACTTACTGTATGTGATCTTTAAAATTGTTTTAAGGTTAATGAAGATGACAATAAAAGCAAATCTAAATAAATGTTTATCAAGATTACCTTTGCTCTGTTTCTACAGTGGTTATGTCAAAATCTGCATAGATATATATAAATGTTGTCAAACCATATTGCAATCGCGATGCAGCTAGATAACAAACAAATATTAATTAAAATTTATGAGTATATTTTATTTCATCAATAATGACTTAGCGAATCGATAGTTAGAGAAAATGAGTATATCATTAATTTATGGCATTCCTGATTAAGATCAATATAGAAATGAGATTACCTTTTCTTGACGTTAGATAAGGTTTTATATCATAATCTGGTTGAAATCCCATTATGGCCTTCCAGTTTGGGATAATAATTTTCCTGATGCTTCGGCCGAAATAAAGGCTAACAGCCTTTTAATAAATAAATTTAATTTAGTATCAGTTGAATAGTAAAAAGAAATATTTGATTAAAAATGCGTACTTGTCCTGTTAAAATTTGATAGGTATTAGTTTGCGTAATTGATTGTAAGAAAATTGAAGAAATGGTTTCTTTCAAATAAACATTTTCTACATATTATAATTATAAAATTTAGTGTTTGTAATTAATAAAGAATTGGTTTTTATAAGCATACCTGAGTCGGAAACCGTAACGAAAAAATGTGAACTAGTATTTTGATACACAATTTCATCCATAAATGATAATTCAAACATAATAGATCGTTCGTCATGTTCTCCATTCTTTGTATTATTTGGTGAATTTAAGATCAATTTATATTTATTTTCAAATGGAATTGAAAAATATCCATTGTAATAAGACCCATTTATATCTGATGGCTCTGTGATATATGAATTGCAATCCTGATAATCTATAAATATATTTTTAAAAGATTTACGAATGTAAAGAATTCCCTCATATGTCAACGTTAATTTAAGTAAATGGTATGATCTTACCAGAAATATTAAATTTACATGTCATTATAAATATATTTTCAGAAAAAATTTGGAAATCTGAATTAATTCAAAATAAAAAAAATAATTGATTATAAATTTCACACATATCAATTTATTATAATTCCAACCTTTTTTTTTTTTACCTGGTATCGTCAAATTTTCTTTAATGTAAGAATAATTAATGACAGGTTGATCATTTATGATGTCGAAAATTATATTGATAGTAAAGATTATTATACATATTAAAAAAAAAAACATGCTAATAATTCTTATGACATGAATTGATAAAGGCTCAGTCTTGCGATATCTCTTGTAAATTTCTCCTAAAATCATTTTTCTCAAAATTTAGAAAATTATTATAAAATGTATATACTAAATTCATATACATATATATATATATACTCTATACGTATACGCAAATAAAATATCGTGTTACATGCAATTTTGAAACTTACGCACAAAAAAGAAGTTACACATAACGATAATAGTCCCTTGTGATTTCTCGGGTTTTAGCACATATGTATATGTATACATTTATACGTATCACTTCCTTTTTTCCATATTTGCTACAATATAAATTGTATGTTTTTTTTTCGTGTTATTTCTATAAAAGGATAATAATAAAAGTATTCTCATGATTGAATAATGGTTTATAATTCTGTTTATGTCGTGCCTGAAGTTGAACGTACCTAGAATTGTTACGTTTCTAATATTAGTACTTAATATTAATTTTAGTCATTTCTGGTGTCACAAATTTCTTACTAGTGTCATATGTCAATCGTTTCGAATGTCATTAAAAAAAAACATCCCAGAGAAAACTATTGATGTTTGTTATAACTTGGAATAACACTATTCTTCTTGACTGCACAGCGTCATATGCGCTAACTGATACATCTTAATTAAAATTTTTTGGATAAATTTTATTCATAATCAATGTGTAACAGAACAAGAAATCACACACATATATATTTATATATATTTGAAGTCGAAAAAAAGTAACCTAATATTTGATAGAGGAGGAAATTAGGCAAAATTATAATAACACATGTAATGTAGGTTCGTTATATTTGTAAATTAGCTGGATAGCCATACTTCCGGCATTAGAAAATTGATATATATTTATACTGTCAACTCTTTCTATAACGAACTGACGGTTCTGGAAAAAACAAAGGTTGCTATATGAAATTACTACATTTTCTTAAGGATGATTATAAAAATTCTATAATTTGAGTTCGTTATATCCAGGGTCGATTGTGCAATTTATAATAAGTGTATAGAATAATGATGATACAACAACAAATGTCTATGATTTGCTTATCGTAATACATTTATTAGTAATCATACTTCACTCACTAAATTAACAATTTATTGAAGTATTAGACTCGTTATTAATCGATGAATTTATTATTTGGTAGATTTCACAAAATTTTCATAGGAATCTAATTGCATTAAAAATCCGAAATCCAGTAAGCATAAAATGTACGTAAAATGCAAGTACGCATAGCTCCAGAAATTTTAATCTATATTTAGAAATGAATTCTTTACGCAAAGCTTATGTTGTTGGAAATTTACAAGTTATTTAAATTAGGTGCACGCATCAATGTTTATTATGCAATGAGGCTCCTAAATGCAATCGTTATCATATAAACAAGAAATAAGTCTTCATATTAACATTGACAATAATCATGAGTGTCATAAATTTAACCAAAGTAAAACATAATGCATATTCATCTTTTTTAATATGCTTTAATATTTATATACTGTACAGGAAACACAAAATGCGCAATTTTATCTCATCTCTCACTTCCAATATTTTAACAGTTCAAATAAGAGTCGGGACATCGCTTTTATCAAAGTTCAAAAATGAGATATACGATATATATGTAATTTATTAAGCAATTTTATTTTTAGAATAACATAAATAATAAAATTTCTAGTTACATAAATAAGTGTTTGTCATTATGCATATTCTTTATTAACTACAGTATTGGATTGTTGAATTTGTTCTAAATATTGCACGTTTACTACATAATCTCTTAAAAATAATTGTAATAAATCTAATCTTTTTTCAAGTTGTTCAGTTGAAAGGTCATCTTTCAAATCATTTGTATCTTGAGTTAAATGACTAATGAACGGCATTGATTCTAAAGTAATTATTAACTTATCCTGTACAATTCGGTTAACTTTGAAAAGATGTTTTTGAACAAATCCCCATGGTTTAATAGTGCCTGCACCTAAAATAAAATAGGATATTTCAATTTAATATATTGAAAATTTGTCAAAATTAATAATTTATTCAAAATTTATATCTACCAAAAAGTAATGCATAAAAACTTGTAATTAGTCCAAATGCACCACCAAATAATCCAAGTGAATTCGATACCTGTAAATTAAAAGGGAAAATTCATTTCTGTACTATAAAATGATAGATATCTTACTGACAATAATTACATGATAACTACATAGTGATTAATAGTTATTATTAAGTTTAATAATAATTATATAATCAGTATGAAATTATTGCATAGTAAAATGTCTAGATTTTGTAATATAATATATAGTTTGTATTTTTTTTTAAAAAAAAACTTGATCTTACGGTTTTAAACCTTTGTAATTATTATAAAAAATATTAATTACACATAATAGTACAAAAAAATATTAATTACAGATAATAATAATATAAAAAAAATATTAGTTACACATAATAATAGTATAAAAAAGGTTAAGTTATTTTTATTATTACCTTTGATCCGTATCAACTTGAACAATAAATGACTGTGGTTCGATATTTATTGTAGAAAATAATGTTAAAGGTCCCGTAGTATTGGAAATAAGAGAAGATTCTAAAAGAATTAATATTACACAATTAATATTGCTTTTGAAAGATCATCTTGTTAAATAATACGTACCAATCGTGGAAGTAACATAAGGTATTCTTTCGAGATCTGGTGCAAATCCAAAATAATTTTTCCAGCTTCGTGACATAAGATATTTTATGCTTCTTGTTACTTGAATATTATAAGACTGTTTATCCAAACAAAAAGTTAACAGTATTTCTACTACTGTAACAATATGTATATAATATAATTCAAAATAAAAAACTTGCTTGATTAGGCGATAATTCATATGTGTTTATTTTAACTACTGAATCCAAAAACATTGAATTTTGGGTTTCAAATAATTTTGAACCATAAATGTTATAAAGTTCTATAATTAAATTTAAATTAGTTATTATAGACTTTATTCTGAAAAATTAAAACAAGTTTCTTACCTGAATCAATTGCAAGAAGATCTATAGACATTGATGGATCACTCGTATTATACGTGGCATTATCGGCATAAATTATAAATCCAATGTTTTTCAGGCCCTCATTAGAACTTGTTGAAAAGAATAAATTGCCACTAGTTTTAAAATAACCTTCATACTTTAAGGTGGAGCTCAATGCTGACTGTTCTATGTATTGAGCGCATGCTTTATTATCTTCACGTGTACTATTAGCTAGTTTATTTGAATATTTTAAGTAACTATATGATTATATGGTTTAAGTAATTATGAGACATATAACGTTCAAATATTTAGAGTTACCAGCATATGTGAAATAACAATTTAAATAGGATTTTTGAGGAATATTTGAAAACATTAGCACTATAAATTTGTTACCAAAAATTGTAAAGATTATTAAGTTATTAATCATAGAGTTTCATAACGTCAGAAGCTTGGAATTTACCTGGAACGGGCAAAGAACCTGTCTCAATAAAAGAGCTTTGAATAGCTGGATGATCATTGTAAATATCCAAAATCAAAAATATAGCGTATCCAACCAGAATTATTACTAATAACGTTGCTACGATGAGTCGTAATGAAAAGACAGACGTAGGTTCAGTTTTGCGATCCTTCCGAAATATTTTTTTCAGTAACATTCTTATGCAAGGTATTCACTTTTTATTATTGATAAATAGCAATTTATATTGCTGTTGATGATAATACATTATTCTGACTATATATACTGTAGATATACAGTTTTATATATCACATTAAACGTTAATGATGATTATACCATGCAGATTGGTTTGTGATATCTGTATATAGCTTTTTATCTTTTTTCCTTATTAAGCAGTGTAAACCAATGCAAATGTAGTAATTTGGGATTTTTATTCTAATTTGGTTCGTGAACCGACATTTGCGCATAATGTGTTTCAAACGCACAATTTGAAACCTAACCTGTATTCGTAACAAACAAACATGGCGCAAGTGATATGTAGTGATCTGTTGCTTACCATAATGTGATTCGCACAATTGCTGAATCTAGTAAAAACATTTGAGAATCTATCAAGTCCCAAACTACCAGATTTGGTTACAAGTCCTAAATTAATGTACCAGCTTTGGCTTCTCCAACTTCTCCTGAAAAGAAACAGTCAATCAATGAATCAATTATTGATTATCTAGGATCAGCAATATTTAGAATCAAACACATGCGAAAGAAAAAATGCATATAGGCAAGACAACCTTAAATTTCTATATGCGTACTTGTTCAATTTCTACTAAATTGCCCATTTTGATTTGTATTTCTCGCGAAGAATAAGTATAAATATAGTTTTTTTATTTATTTATTTTTATGTATGTATAATAAAACTTAAAACGTAATGGATAAATTTTAGTCATTGATTTACAAGACTTATGGGAGAAAATTGTTGATGGGAATATCGTGATCATTAAAAATTAAGTGATACCATAGAATACATGACCACTTCGAATAATAATAATATATTGTGCAACGTCACTATATCAAAATATTAATAAGCAAGTAAATAAAATGTTTAATTTAATCATGTTTTCATAAACAGTTTCATGACGGTTTATAAACAATTCATAACTCAAAAGACAATCAGCCAATCGTACAATTTATACAATTCAATTATATTTTTAATGACTAATACCGGCAATTTCTCAATGTCACATAAATGATATGAATTATTATCATTTATTTCTAATAATCACTAAAAACGACAAAATCTGCAAATAGAGTGTTTCAGAATTAACTTATTTAAGAAATAAGTGAAAGTTTTAAAAAGACTTTTATAGTAAATAAAGCTACAAACATTAGAATTTATATATCGCTTACTTTAAATAAATACATCAACTTATTTTATCCAAAATTAGATCCAAAATCATTAATTATGAAACTCCCTATCGCTATTGTTATTGGTAAACAATAAATTTATACGTAGTCAAATTACAAATTCGGATAATATGTTACATTGTAGAAATTTGTAGAAATTTGTACTAGTGTACTATTAACTCGTACTATAGCATTATACATATACCTAAAAAAATTACTTTTAAAAAAATTGGGTTAATACCAAGAAATCAACCATAATTTTGAATATACCTTAATCACCAAAATGATTATTGAAAAATTTCAAAAATATCGCAAGACTGAACCAACATCATTATTTGTATTAAAAAGTTTCGTTTTAATATTACTTTTAATATTATTATTTGGATACACTTGGTTAATAATTTGGGACATTTACAATGATAATCCTGTCGTTCAGAATTCTTTAGAAGAAGCAAATTATATTCCTGTTCCAGGTAACTTTAACTTCTGCATTAATAAAAGATTCATGTTCTTAAAATTTTAATTTTGTAGATATTCTTTCTCATACAAATCAAACAACGAATATTACTTGCCATTTTGTAAATGCTAGTAAGTATTAGATGTTAAAATCTCAAATTCTTTATGTTCTAAATTTAATTACACTTGCGTTCTAGGTGGTATTCACGATTGTAATCAATATATAACATATTACACGGGTATTATTAATGGAATGCATACAGGATATTTTTCGACGAATGGTTTAATGTTTTCCACAATACCTAATAATGGAATAAGTTCTTTAGAACTTAAGATTTATTTGAATGATGCTAGTTTTAATTTAAGTGATAGTACATTGGTACCAGATATTTTATTTAGTATGGATGATGCAGGTTAGTATATCATTATTATCTTTGATTTATTTTTTATTCTTGTATGCATTGGTAGTATATAATGTAATATTTTTATTTAAATAGATTTCGATAAAAATTATAACAACGGCTTATTCGTGTCAGATCAATTTCAACTTTCACTATATTCAAAGTTTCCTAATACAATTTTTCAATTAAATCAATATAGTCTTGCAGCATTTAGTGTAAATATTTAAGATATTTGATTAGTGATATAATAATCATGACTCAGACTTTGAGCAAGTAGAACTGAATGAATCGAGTTAAATACCTAACTCACCTCACCTCAGTTTAAGTGACCAGTATATAAGTCACGATTATATGAGCTGCAAACATCAATAACTAATCACATTTATAACTCTTATTTATCTGTTATACCTTTTTTTTAACAGTCTTATACACTTAAAATAAAAAGAAAAAGAAAAGAGCTTATGCTGCCAAGCTGGAAAAATTACATAGGATTTTCATCTAATCTTGAAAGTATACCGTATATAACATCGACATTGGGTATATAATATCATTATTTAAGAATTATTAACAAATAATTTATATTAAACCAATATTAATTTTTTATAATATTTACAAGAAACATTTCCTCTTACAAAGGAAACTGGACCTCTAATATTATTGACGAAAATAACAATTGAACCACAAATCTTTATTGTTCAAGTTGAAACTGATAAAAGGTTTATACTAAGTGTATTGATTCTGGTTTTAATTTATAGATAATTTATAAATAATTAACTAATTATTTAATTATTGTTTAATTCATAAATCAATTCAATTAAAAAAGAACAAAAACTGTAAGTATTTATAATTATGTAGCCTATTTAAAATTAAAATGACAATTATAAAAATAATTTAGGTCATAAATTCACTTGGTTTAATCGGAGGTGCATGTGGATTTGTTGTAGCAATTTATACAACGCTTTTCGGCAAGTTAGATAAAGCTATTCTATTTGTATTCAAATAACAATTATGATTAATATTAATTTTTATGTTTTTAGGTAGTATTGCTATTAAACCATGGGGATTGATTCAAAAATATGGCTTTAAAATAAATAAATCAGTACAAACAAAGTTGCATAATACTCTAGAATTTATTCCATTTGTTAATCATCCAAAAACTACCAATAATTTAAGCAACTATGAATTAAAAAGAAGACTTGATTCATTACAATTATTTATAACAGAATATGTCGCTGATGTGCAATATTTGGAAGAGATTTATAAAGTCAACATAAATAAAGAAGGTAATTGTACATAGACTGTTAAATCAAATTTCGCATTATATTAAAGACTTCATTCAAACTTATATTTCATTTTAGACACATAAAATTGTTGATCAATTTATTGTAATTAACATTTAACTTTTGTATTTTTATAAAATAAATTTAAGATTTCAAATTGTTCATTATTCGATTCATGTAATTTTTTAAATAGCAGTCAACAAATATTATACAATAATCATTTAAATTTAATAAAATTTACTATTCATGTTATAATTAAGCGGCTGTTATACATACCTCCAAATTTGTTATTTGTACCCTTATAAATCAATTTTTTGAACTTTGTGCGAATATATATTAATAACTACCAAGTCAAATTCAATGAACTTTTTTTATTTGAATACTAAAGATACATAGAATTCAAAGAAAAAAAAGTTTATTGAATTTAACGTTGTGGTTGTTAAGATAAATTCAAAACGTCTATTAAAATAGAGCTACACCAATAACTTTTTTCAAACTTTGAGCAAGGTATCTTGACAACTACGAAGCAAAATTCGATGAACATTTTTATTTAAATTTATAGATTCATAGAACTCAAAGGAAAAAATTTTATCGAATTTGACTTGGTGGTTATCGACTCAAAATTTGAAAAAAATTTAACGCAGTTCTATTTAGATAGATCTTTTGTACTTTTTAAAAACTTTGAGCAAAGATATCTTGACAACCATAAAACCAATTCAATAAACTTTTTTTTTTTGAATTCTATGAATTTCTAATATTTAAATAAAAAAAAATTATTTAGTCTGACTTGGTAGTTGTCAAGAAATCTTCGCTCAAAGTTTGAAGGAATTGACTTACAAGGGATACAATATAATTAAGTGGCATAGTTTATTAATAAATCTCTTACACTTTCTGTAAAAAAATTTATACTATATGATTTAGTATCGTAAACATATTTTTACTTTGTAAACTTTATTCGATTTTACTTAATAAAAAATCATATCTATTACTGTATTATATTCACAGAAATAAGTCAACTGCTCTTTATTTTTAAAAATAATATTGAATTTCAACTTTACTATTAAACCAAATTTTTATATATACAATATATAAACAAATTTTATATTTAAATAATAACTTAATAATAGATATTATATATAGAATTTTATAAATAAATATAGAAAATTAAAAAAGTCACCAAAGGTATGCAAGTATACCTTAACTTTTATGTCGCCTTTTGTATAATAAAAATCCAAAAAATGATATCATTCCGACCAATACAATTCCACTCACAACACTAATTCCAATAAATAAACCGTTAATAGATGAAGAATTTGAAGGACTTGTTGGTTTATTTGTTTGAGTTTTTTGATTTGTTAAAGAACTTTGGGTTGTAGTTTCGGTATTATTTATGCCAATCCAGATGTATTTTTGAATATCCAGTATATAAACATTTTTATTATATGCTGAACCTCCTGTTGACGCTATATACCCTGAAAATATAAATTTATTTTATAACTCTTAGTAATTTTATAATTTTTATGTAGTAATTTTATCGTCAACTAAAGAAGATATTTACCGAACGCAACTATCATATAATTTTTATATAATGCAGCTGAATGAGCAGTAAGTTGTAGCGGAGTATTTACAAGAGGAATATAAGGTATAGACCATATCCATTTATTTGTGTATAATACACAGAGATCAGGCAATGCTTGTGGTCCGAATTGATGAAGTATTGAACCACCATAAACGATAATATCCCCATTTTGATCTGATATAAAAAAAGTATGTAAGAAAATGGTTAGATTATGAAATATTATATACAAATATACAGTATACTTACTTAAAATTGCTGAATGACCTATGCGAGATTCAATAGAACTACCATTAACTGACTAAATTTTAATAAGATTTATAAAAACTAGAATTAATTATTGATTAATTATTAATAACAAATTTATTTATGTACATACTTTAATAGACCAGATAAAAGAAGTTGTATTAAAAGTTCGAATCTGTATTTAAGTAATGAAATTATTAAAATTAAAATAAAGGATTTAAGAATAATAAATTTAAAGTAATAGTATATAAGCCATGCCTCACTCATATTAACAGGAAGTGATCCTGATACATAATCTAATCCACCAATATAAACGATAAGACCAGTTGGTAATAATGTAGCAGTATAATAATAAGTTGGAGGTGCTTGGTGTATGACTAGAGTTGACCAGAACATGGTAGTAATATCAAGTATATTCATATCATTATAAAAAATTGATGAAGAAGTATCACTACTATTAATCAGATAACTCATTCCACCAAATATAAAAATTCTTCTTGTATCATTATCAATAACAGCTTGTATTAAATTACGTGTTTTAAAAGTACTATTTAAATTTGTAATATTCGGTATTGACCATAAAGAATTATTGTTAGGATCAAACCTAAATGTAGATGAATTAAACGCAATTGTTGTTGAATTTGGCAAAAACTGCCTTCCACCAATTAAAAAGACCGCCGAATTATTAATGGAGCTTACGCAAGAAGTTTCATAGAAAATTCCTACTGGCATTTCAGCACCTTTATACCATGTAGGAATAGTAGTATTAAACAAGCTTGTGTTGGATAAATCAAGATACCATACATCATTGGGAGCAGACCATGATTGATTGCGACCATTTTTAATTCGCACATTCCCACCGAAAAAATAAAGCTTAGTACCAACTAATGCACTAGTTTGCCCAATTCTGGCATGAGGAATGCTTTGGCAAGTCACAAAAAGAAGTATATAGTTTAGCAATGAAAAAGAAAAGATAAAAAGTTTACCAAACATTATCAAAAAATATTACAACTTTATAAAATATAGTTGAGATCAAATATTAATAATTATCTCAAATTTTATATAAATATTAACATTTTAAATAGACTTTATGTAAGTTTAAAGGGAATGTGTGTATTTAAGAAAATTGAACTTATGGAAATATTTGATTACCGAATCTAAATGCATAATAACGATTCATAATATTTGAAACGTTTGTAAAGTATGACATACATATTAAAAAAAATATTCAAAACAATGTTTGTGTATGACGAAATCTTTCGCTGATTTGTTGTCGTACATGCTACTATTTTACATGTGTACTATTTATGGAAATACGTTTCAGAAATGCAAAACACAGTAATGCGAATTAGGCAAAAAAACAATTCAGAATACAATCATATATTGTTATTAATTGCTACTATGAAAATATTAAACTTTAGTGATTGTATTAAGGGCAGTTAGAATAAGATACAGTCAGACCTCTATATAGTCACACCCTATATAATCACACCCTATATAATCACACCTCTATATAAGCAACTTATTTTGTTAAACAAATTATTGTAAAAGTATATTTATGTATATATAAATACAATCCCTTTATAAGCATATTTCTAAAAAAAAGGCTTACTATCATTCCAACTACGTGACTAAAGAGGATTGACTGTATTAACTAAAATGATAATACCGAGAGTTTATAAATAATCATTTGTATCAAAGTTTCTTTTTAGTCTCGAAGATCCAATATCAAAATCAGATATATAAAGTGTCACATAAATATTTACTATATACCTTTACTTGTAGATGTGATAAAAATCGGTGGAACGATAATATTTTGCATGTGCGTATGTATAAAACTGTTATGTTTGTGTGTGACCTCCTACGCAGAGGATTCATTTGTTTAATTTATTCTACATATACAAAAATATATAAAATTAGAAGGGAAAATGTTTTTTTGCACACCCGCATGGCAGTGCACCTCTCTAATTAGCCAATCGGATTTTAGGGTTTGCTGTTGTTTTTTTGATTTAGTGTAACGTAATACATTTTAATTGGCTAATTAGAAGGGATGCACTGCTGTGCAGATGCGTGAAAAAACTAAATTCGAATTAGAAAATATATAAAATTACATAAATACATGAATAAATATTAATTTTTTTAGATCAAGAAACATTGATTTTAATAGTGATGAAGAATTTTATAATCATATTTCTGATTTTTCAGGTAAAGAACTTTTTAATTATAAAATTGAACATTTTTTAAACGATATGCTATGCATCAGTTCAAGAAAATTTATAATATTCTAGAAATATTGCTTAATGAATTAATTACATAAATAGGCTTTAATAATTTCACGTATTTATATATAACATGCAAGCACTTTTTTGTTAAATGATAAAGATTTTTACAACTAGAGTTACTGCAAAATCGGGAATTGTTTTTCTTCCTCCATATGATGGAGCATGGATGAATTGCACTAATGATATAACAACAATTGTTAATAAAAGTAGGTATTAATTAATTTTGAACTCAATTTTTTTAAAAATTTCTAATAAAGCAAAAAAAAAATATATTATTATAGGTTTCAGTATTAAACTTGTTGATTATTCGACCCCTGTAACTCCAGGATTTGGCGATTATGTTGCAGGAAGGTCTTCTGATAAACGTATTCGTGGCATTGGTTTTATTGTATATTCAAGTTTCGTAGAACCAGTAGCATCATTTAGTATTTCTGCACTTGACAATTCTGCTGTTTATAATATGTTCGGATACTGTGGTACAGATGAATATCCAACTATTCAATGTGACTCGCCAATTATGGGGTTATCAAATCCACCTACTCAACAGTGGTGCATAACTATAACAAACCCATTTAATAATAGTCAAAAAGCTTACGTATCATTCAGTCCTGATTAAACTTAAACAAATGCAACTACCAGCGATATGTTCGCAAGTGGAACATCTAAAACTTAAATAATGAATATTTTTTATTAGTTCTATTAATATTATTTCAGATATTATGGGAATAATTTTGTTTTTTCGTAGTGATGTCAGTATTAAAATTAAATCTTTTTCTATTTACGGCTGTTATTTCATTCTTGTAAAATATTAATAATCCACTGTATTATTGAAACTACAAAAAGTATCTACTATTAATTTCATAAATCCAACTGTTAAAATAATTAGCCTATTTACTATTGAAATTATCACTCACTGCCTTATTAATCCCTCTATGCCAGAAACGAATGTAATGAGTGTATGGGTTGTATGATGTTTGAAATGGTATCCGTCCGCGAAATCTTAAGTTTGATTGGTCCGCATGATTTATTCATCAAAGTTTGTTTATTTTTCACACATTAATGCATCACACATATAGATCAACAGATATACACGTGCATTCGGATAGGAGTATAATTTGAATACAAAAAAATGAAAACGTAAGCGATGTCATAGTTACGATAATTAATTAACGATAGTAAAACCACGAATTTTTAGACTCAAAAATTGGTAACCCGATACAGATAATTGTCTATTTACCTGATATTTAACATTTTTCATTTTTTTCGTAGGATTTTTTATTGGGTTGATTAAATGATAATCACTGATCGCCAAAGACTAGCTAATGCGAGTTGATTACCTATAGTATATTACAATATATTTATGAGATGCTAGATCAGCTCTCGTTTGTACGTTACTTGGACTATTTGTTAACTACTATATCTGCTTTCGTTCCTAGTTTCTAGCACGTCTATGTCATGCAGCTATCTTATTAATAAATTGTAATTTTAAGTGCTGTAAGTATAATAATACATAGCAACCGGCATTTCAACAGAAACAATAGACTGACTTGTTAAAGCTGCTAATATAATATAATTAGCTTTAAATAAATAAATAGAGTTATTTTTAGTGATGGGAAAAATGCGCATTTTATAATAACATGCGCATGAAATATAAAATGCGCATGATACCGCATGATAAAAAAATTTTTTTTTTAAACTTATATCTTTATTATTA